CCAGGATACGATAGAGATGTAATAGTTTAATAAACCTGTAGGAAACAGTTTCTCTCCTAATAAAATGTTGTTAAATTCAGTATGTTACTAAATGTTGTATCTTCAAAGACTATGAGATCAACAAGTAAAATAAATAACTTACATTAATTTAAAAGAAGTGATAAAGACTACAACAAAAATAAGAACAAGACTTGAGAAGGAGCAAGATACCATGAATTACCTCACATTATCTAACATCCTCTTCCTCTTGGGTATCTAAATGGTTTTACTTTTATTTAGGTGGATAATCTGGGAGTTTCTGAAAACTCTTCCTCTACTTGCCACAACTCCCATTCCTTCTTTTAAAAAAGTTTGAAAATGGAATGGGATAAAAGAATAAAACAGTCTTAGAAAAAAATTTCTATTTTCAGCCTTACACATGAATTATTCAAAAAACATCAACTGAGCACCTACTCAGTGTTTCAGGTACTGTCCCAAGTCCCTCTCTTTCCCTAATTCTTTTTTTGGTACTGGGAATCAAACTCGTGTCCTTGTGCTTGTGAAGCAGGTGCTGGAACCACTGAGCTAAATCCCCAGCCCTCTTTCCCTAATTCTTACTCAAGAAACTTTAAGATCCTTTAATGATCTTTAATGATCATTTAATGTTTCTTAATATCAAACTACAACTGTCATTAATAGGAGTACTTTACATTTTGTAGTATGTCCAAAATAAAATCAAGTAAGATGAATTATTTCAAATTTCAATTATTTTAAATTTCTCATAATTAAATCAAGTTTAGCAGATTATTCAAATTATAAGTACCTGTTAATACCATGTTTTATTATTTAGACTAGTGCTTTATGTCTTCAAAATATTTTAAATCATCTTATTTTCTAATGCTTTACAGTTAAAAACAAAAGGTAATTTAAGCCTAAAATATTGGTTACAATTCTAAGGAGAATTTAAGACACCAAGCCAAAAATTATAACTGGTAAAATCTGTGGAATATATTTAACTTATAAGTATTACTTTGGTATGACTTCTATTTTAAATGCTATTTAAATGTAATTTTTATAGTAATACATCTTTAAAAAATACTATATTGAGACATTATTGAATGACTTCAGATTCTCCCAATACGTTTCCATTAAAAGGAACACTTTCAAGTATTGACTTGCAGATCTTTAAAACAGGAACCCGCTAAGCTGTGGGTGGTAGCACATGCCTGTCATCCAGCACTCAGGAGGCTGAGGCAGGAGGATCGCCACAAGTTCAAGGCCAGCCTGAACTACATAATGAGGTCATGTCTCAAAAACAAAAAAAAAACCCAGAAAACCTCTAAAACTTGATTGAATTAACACTGTAGGTAGGAAAAAAGGTTGAGATCCTGGATCATCTAGGAAAAATCTTTTAAAAACCACTTTAAGAAACTTCAGTAAATAGCTAAAGTCTACAAAAATGATATATAGGGAAAATAATCATTCCTTTTATTTCTTAATTAAGCCACTTTAGAAAACATTCAGTCATTTTTCCCTTTGACTATTTACAGCACTTACAAGTGGCTGGTTAGGCTCATTAGTGTACCAGCTCCTCCCTGCTGTGATCCCTGGTCTCTGGAAGACGTGCCCCACCTCACTTGTGCTCCCCTGTTTTGTGCCTTGAGAAATGTAGATTGACCTTTACAGAAACAGAGTCCTGAGATCAAGGCAGGTTCCAGTTGAAATAATAATTTGCAATAGGCTAAGGAGTGGGTTTCTGGTCCTAATTTAAACAAGCGTTTTAGACATTTATAGTCTCAGTTGTTGCTATTGTATAGAAATCAGTGATATCACTAGGAAGAAAATTATTGGCATAACTGATTTTAATGTAGTTAGTATTTCATTTTATTTTACTTTAAATGTTAAACCAAATTATGAAAGTCAGAATTTGGCTATAATATGAACCATTTTAGCTTTCACTTACTTTGTAAAATTTCTTATGGCACAATTCAGCCAGTAATTAATAAGTAAAATTCTACTTAGATAGTTTTCTGAATTATTCTAAAGCAGCCGCAGAACTTTAGGAGATCTGAACATTTAAGTGTAAGAAATATCTGCCTGGGTAACTGCTTTATCCCATGCACTTTGATGAATGTCTCTGCTGTCTGCAGTCAGGGACTTTCCTGTGGAGGAGTATATTATTAGAAGGTCAGGGCCCGATTTGTAGATAAAACAACCACTTGCCACCTCTTGACCTGAATCCACTGAGACAGTGGATTGTTTTCTAACATTAGGTAGCAACTGGTTGTGATTTAAAAAAATCTTTACATAATAAGCTCTAGTATTAAACTTTAACCTGCAAAAATAATGCTGATTAATTTTGATCCAAACTGATGCCCTGAGACTTTTGTGATTGCACAGGATTTTTAGATTTTACAATTGAAAAATGTCTTTTAGTTCTGCTCCCTAGTTTTTCAAATAAGGAAATTAGGCCCCGGAGAAATTGAAAGATGGAAAAATACACTAATAGTTTTAGTGCTTATATGAAGGAAGGTAGAAATGTGAGTGGTTATTTTTTAATTACTATTACAGTAATAGTATTTTCATATTGACAAAGTTATTTTATTTTTTAAAAAGCTGTTATTTTAAATGCGGAGATAATTGCAGGAATCCTTCTGAATCTTCTTTCCATTTCTTAGGCAGACTCTGCTGAAAAGGTTAGAGAATATGGACTTTCCCATATCTGTAGCCATCCTGTGCTCGTGACAAGAAGTAGGTCTTGTCCCCTTATAGAACCACCAAAACCGCCTCTGATACCTCCATGGAAACTCATTCGTTATAAAAAAGAAATTGTTATAACAGATGAACCTCAAGGTATGCATAGCATGGTCTTAAAATCTTTGTAATGAACCATTGCTTGTTTAAAGGGTAGTTTCTTTTGCTGTGAAAGATGTATGTCAAGGTAGACCGTTAGCCATTGCACCTAAAAAGCTACTTAAATTTTATATCCAGATTTTACATCTTTAAAGGATTAATTGTCCATGTCTCAGAAGCAGGAGAGTTTTTGGTTCAAGTGTAAATTGAGCAGACAGATCCAGGTTATTCTGGATTGGGGGCATTGTTATTATTAGTCTGATGATGGAAAAGTGTAATTAAAATGAGTGCGATAGTTTGCTGTAAAAAATTAATGTGATCAGTGTAATAGTTTGCATAAATGCTATGGAAATTAAGCAGCATATGTTAAGCCACTGGAGTGAATTTCTAATGTGAAAATCACCAGTGGGCATCATGTAGAACATAATTTTTGAATTATTGGTTTATAATTAGAATAGAACTCCTACCTGAACTGGCATCTGTGTTAGTCCTGTCGTATAGCCATTTAGTGAATAGTGCCTGTTCTCTGAAATAAATAGATTCCTGTGGGCTAAGAGCATGGATGGGAATCTCCTCACTTTGTTCTTGTTCTGCAGTTTATTTTTAAATCCTCACAACCCATGTCTTTACACCTTCAACTTTTTGTTCTCTACAAGTCTTCATTCTTACTCTTTTTTTTCCCTCAAGCACAGTTTGAAGGGAAGAGGGACCACTTAAACTGGGGGTGATTATCTTATGATTGGTTGGTTTCCATGCAGGTGGTGCCTCACCCTAGGGGCTCATCATATAATTGTTTTATTCTCTTCAGTGGGTTTAATATTTAAAGTAAAAATGAACAAAAATGGGAGGAAGATCATTTTAGAGGATAGTACCAAAGGATTAGAGAAAATTTGTGCATACCATGACATAGCCTCATTTCTACTCATATTACCTCATGTTTAATTTCACTGTTCACCATGGTAACTCATAGACTGTGTCCCTTTCCTGTTGAGAATTTCCTGCTTGTAGACGAGCTTTAGATTTAGGAGCATCCACAGATCTTCTCTTGAACTCCTGCTTCTGTTTCTACTCCTGACTTTTACTTTGTTACATTTTCTGCTCTTCCACTACATTTTCTCTTCATTTCCTAAGCAGTTGTGTTGTCAGTGGTCCCCAACCTTTTGGCACCAGGACTAGTTATGTGGAAGACAGTTTTTCCATCAACTGTAGATGACGGTGGGGTTTGGGGATGATTTAGGGGCATTATATTTATTGTGTACTTTATTTCTATTATAATTACATTAGGTTCTCGTAAGGACCACGAAACCTAGAGCACTTTCGTGTGCAGTTCACAACAGGATGTGTGTTTCTATGAGATTCTAATCCCCTAGCTGATCTGACAGCAGGTGGAGTTCAGGCAGTGATGTGAGCTGCAGGAAACAGCTGTAAATACAGATGAAGCTTAGCTCACTTGCCCTCCACTCACACTACATGCTGCTCACCACCTCTCGGGTAGGGCACTCCTGTTGTACAGGTTAATCAAAGGAACACATGGTTTCAGTAAAAGACTTTTATAGAAAATCATTTCCTTACTTAAGAGTAGCAGCAAAAGCCAAGGAATACTCTGTAAGGAATTGTCGACTTCCCCACTGGGACTTGTTTTATGTTGCTATCCGGAAAGCAACTGAGGTATGGACAAAAGAAATACAAGATAAATTCATTCAGTAAAATACCTTAGACATCTCTGTACCTTTGTTTATCTATTTACTTTTATTAAAGTATGCTCTGCAAATAGTTATCTAATCAGTTCTGGGATAGATGTTAACTTCTGTATATAATCATGAAAGATTAAAAGAAGTGTGTATTATACTTTCTCACTGCTATTTTTAGTTTCAGTGATAAAGAAGCCTGAGCAGTTTCTTGAGATCTCAAGTCCATTTTTGAATTATAGAATGACTCCACTTAAAATTCCAAAAAGAACGTAAGTATATAACATTCTTTCTCACAAATGCATATTGTTAACACATATTTTATGATGTTTGGTTAAAAATAACACTAAATGAGAACATTTGCAAAACATTAAAAAAAAAGACTAAATATATATATAAAATGTATTGAAGCCTATTTTCCTGATGTCTTACAGCTTATGATTACATTAATTCATATATTAAGAAATGTATTTTGCTTACTTTTTTAGGTGTAGGTTTTGTACTAAATGTTGGAGTATCCTCCATATTCATATGTTGAAGTCCTGGTTGGCAGTGTGGCTGAATCTGGAGACAAGGCCTCTGGGGATGTGATTAAGGCTAAATGAGGTCATATGGGTGGGGCTGTGAGCAATGGGATTAGAATTCTTAGGTGAGACTCCAGGGAGCTTGCTGTCTCCCTGTCTCTCCCTGCATTCACAGTGAAAAGAATGTGGGAACGCACTGAGAAGGCTGCTGTCCTCCTAAAAATCAAACTCTCCTGGAACCTACTCTGATCTCAGACTTGCAGGCTCAGGAAGTGTAAGAAAATAAGTTATTCTCATTCAAGCCACCTAGGCTGTGTTATTTTATAATTACAGCCTCATATATAGAGTCCTGGCTTCAGCGATTGCGCAGGAGGAAAAGGCTTTTTTTTTTTTTTTTTTTTGGTCTGTTATTTTGTCCGTAATCTTTTTGTGACGTGAGGGGGAAATGCTCATGATTTCCCAGATGTTAAAAGGAATGTAAAAATAACTTACCATTAATCAAACTATTTATTACAATACTTTTAGTTTCATTATTTTTGACCTATATTTCTATTTATATATTAAAATGAGGAAAGCTAATTCATTTATAGACTATAGCTACATAGAATTTTATCATATTAAAAATACCATTGAACTGATAACTGTTCTAATATGAAGTATTTCAACCTTTTCAATCAATTTTATTTCATAAAAAGAAATGTATGCTTTGATAACAAATATACTAAAATTCACAGTGCACAATGGTTATAGAAAAAGAGTATTTCTTAGGTTCTATTCTATAGTAATATATACTTGATTTAAAAATAAATTTTGAATTAGTTAAAATTAGGCCTGCTTTGGATGGTCTTTATCAACATAAAATGTTGTAAAAAATTCCTGTCTTGCCAATGTCAAAATAAAATGTAAGGGGGATGTAAAGGATTTGTTAGCAAGTAACCTACTATTTTTGTGAGAGAAAAGCTTACTTATTATGATCAATATTTCAATTTGTGAATTAATTTTACTTCACTTATCCCTCAATAGAATTATAAAGACATAAAAAAGATAAGATTGTATGAAAACATGAAATAGTATTTCTAGAACCAAAAATATAATAACCCAAATTAAGAACTCATTAGATGTGTTTAATAACAGACAAGGTAAAGCCAATAAAAGAATAGAAAAATAGAAAATAGAAGATAAAATACAGACTAAAGCATGTAGAAAAATTTAAAAAGTACAGTAAAAGAAACATGTGGGACAAGTTACAAATGACCATTATACTTGCTAGTGATTTTCAGAAATAGAGGATAGAAAGAATTTGGAAATAATAAAACAAATTTGCATAAAGTTGCCAAAAGTACCCTATACATGTTTATGGAGCTAGAAAAGCCCTATGGTGGACCATCGGCAAGCTGGAGACCCAGGAAGGCCCTAGTATGGCTTTCCAAGTCCAAAGACCTTGGAATCATGGAAGTCAATGGTGCAACTCTCCATCAGGCTGAAAGCTTGAGAACATGGGGCAAGTCCTGAAGCCCAAACATTAGACAACCTGGAGTTCTGACATCTAAGGACAGGAGAAGAGGATTTTGTAGCTCCAGGAGGCAGAGAGGAAATTCACCTCTCCCCTGCCATTTTCTGTCCAGGCTCACAGTCAACTGGGTGGTGCCTGACCACACCGGGGTCAGATTTTTCCCATTTAGTCCACTAAGTTACATGCTGGTTTCTTCCAGAAATATCCTCACAAACATTCAGAAATAAAACTAGTTAGCTAGACACCCTTAATTCAGTCACTGAAAATTAATTATCATATCAACTAAGATTGTAATTTTGCCATCCAAATAAATTGTGGTTATCTTTCAGTTGATTGAGTTTGCATACTAATCAGAGACTATATGGGTTGCAAGAATTTCAGCTGCAGATGAGCAGGACTACTGGAAACCCTGAAACATTAATGCAAACCTCTGCAATAGGCTCTAGTCTCCTGCTCAGTGTATGATGCAAGCCTGAGACAGAAAATTAAAAGACAGAACTGAGAGAGACAGAAAGTGGGGTGCCAGGACAGCCAGTGCTGTTTCAGCAAAAGGCACTGGTCTGTCCAAGCCATTGATTTTTATTAATAATCCGCTGGGGTAAAGGCAAGTTATGTGCAAGGGCAGTACTACATGAGAGGATGTGCAAGTGTGCAGTCTCTATGGAAATTAATTAAGCAAAGCTCATAAAGAACAAGACAAAGCATTCTCATATTAGGAATAGAATAGATAAACTATATGGTTTTAATTAGAGCACTGTCCTTGCAGTAAAAAAAGTTTTAGTTGTGGGAACGGAATTTGGGTGTGAGTTATTCTGACCTCAGCATGTAGGCTTCGGTCGGACTTGCTTCTCAAGACAAGCCAATTATGTGGTTAACTCTTCATAGCCTGAACTGCTTGCAGCTTGCTTTGGGCACAATCAGTATTGTGGTCTCCTGCACAATGTTTTGTTCACAATTTATATCATTATATCCAGTCTTTAAGTAACTCTACCACAATCAGGACCACAAAAAAGTTTGATTTTCTCCAGAGGATCTTCAATACCTACTTTGAGAAACTGTACTTTAATAAAATGGAAAACACAGAAGAAATGGACAGATTTCTAGATACTTATGAATTACCAAAGTTGAACAAAGAAGACAAAAAAATTCTAAACACCCCAATTACAATTAGTGAAACTGGAAATGTAATTAAAAGTTTACCAATGAAGAAAAGCCCAGGTCCTGATGGATTCACCGCTGGATTCTACAAGATATTTAAGGAAGAACTACTCTACTACTCTTTAAACTTTTCAGTGAAATTGAAAGGGAAGCAGTACTTCCAAATTCATTCTTGGAAGCAAGTCTTACTTTGATTCCCAAACCAGGGAAAGACCCAACTAAAAAAGAAACAGGCCAATCTTAATGAATATAGATGCAAAAATCCTTAATAAGATACTGGCAAAAAGAATACAGAGGGTCATCAAGAAGATCATACACCCTGACCCAGTTGGATTTATTCCAGTGATGCAAGGATGGTTCAACATATGTAAATCAATAAATGTAATACACTATATTAACAAAGTCCAAGGACCCAAGTTGGATCCCCAGTACCCAAAAACAAACAAAACAACAAAAACAAACAAACAAAAACCAAACAACAACAACAACAACAAAAACCAAAAATCAAAGTCAAGGACAAAAACCATATGAACCTCTTGATACATGCAGAAAAAGCATTTGACAAAATTCAACACCCATTCACGATAAAAACCCTGCAAAAAATTGGAATAGATGGTCTATATCTGAACTTAGTTAAGGCTATCTATGAAAAACCAACAGCCAACATCATATTAAATGGCCCCAAACTGAAAGCCTTCACGTTAAAAATCAGGTACAAGACAAGGATGCCCACTATCACCACTCCTCTTCAATATAGTTCTGAAAGTATTAGCTACAGCAATTAGACAAGAGAAAAAAAAATCAAAGCAATGAAGATCAGAAAGGAAGAAATTAAACTGTCATTATTTGCTGACAATATGATACTCTACATTGAAGGCCAAAAAAATTCCACCAAAAGACTTCTAAACTTAATTGATACTTTCAAAAGAGTAGCTGGATACAAGGTCAACATTCAAAAATCAATAGCTTTCTTGTACATAAAAAACAGACACACTGAGAGAGAAATAGGGAAACAATTGCTTTCACAATAGCATCCAAAAAAATGAAGTATCTAGGATCAATCTAGCAAAAGAAGCAAAAGACCTCTACACTGAAAACTACAGCACTCTGAAAAAAGAGATCGAAGCGGATATAAGAAAATGGAAAGATATCCCCTGCTCCTGGGTAGGAAGAGTCAACATAGTGAAAATAGCCATACTACCAAAATTGCTATACAGATTCAACGCAATGCCAATTGAGATTCCAACACTATATTTCACAGAACTAGAAAAAAGAATCCAAAACTTCATTTGGAGCCAGAAGAGACCTAGAATAGCAAAAGCCATCCTAGGCAACAGAGACATGGCAGCGGGTATAACAATTCCCAATTTGAAACTATACTACAAAACTACTGTGATAAAAACAGCATGGTACTGGCAAAGAAACAGACCTGAGCATCAGTGGAATAGATCGGAAGATACAGAAACAACTCCAGATGTACTCAGCTACCTCATCTTTGACAAAGGATCCAACCATCTTCAGTGGAGGAAAGATAGCTTCTTTAATAAATGGTGTTAGAAAAACTGCCAAAGATAAAAACTAGACCCTTATCCTTCACCATGCACTAAATTAAAATCCAAGTGGATTAAAGATCTAAATATTAAAAAAGAGACACTAAATTTGCTGGAAGATGAGTTAGGCAGAACTCTTGAAGACATTGGCAAAGGAAAAGACTTTATGAACAAATCCTCAGTAGCATGGGAACTAGCAGAAAGAATCAACAACAGGGATTTTATCTTATTAAAAAGCTTCTGCACTGCAAAAGAAATCACCAACAGAACTGAGGGACAACCTAGAATGTGGGAAAAAATTTTTACCAGCTGCTCCTCAAACAAAGGACTATTATCTAGAATGTATAAAGAACTCAAAACAATCAGCCTCCCCAAATATAAAGACCTGATTCAAAAATGGGCCTCTGAAATGAACAGACATTTCTCAAAGAAGTAAAAGCATTAAGTAAATATATGAAAATATGTTCCACATTACCAGGCATTTGAAAGATCAGATGAAAATAACACTGTGATTCCACCTCACCCCACAAAGAATGGCTGCTATCAAGAAATCAAATAATAACAAATGTTGGTGGGGTTGTGGGGAGAAAGGAACCCTTTTCTATTGTTGGTGGGAGTACAGACTGGTGCAAGCACTGTGGAAATCAATATGGAGATACCTCAAAGAGCTGGGACTAGAGGTTCCATTTGACCGAGCCATAGCTCTGCTGGGTATCTTTCCAAAAGAATGAAAAGAATCATACCACAGTGATATATGTGCACCCATGTTTATAGCGGCACAGTTTGTAATAGCTAAAACTTGGAAACAGCCCTTTTGCCCACCAGTTGGAGACTGGA